GTTTAACGGACTGTAAAGTAATTAAGTAGATTTTTTTCTGTATGGTAACTTATAATAATTTCCTTGAATCCCAAGGACCTTTATTAAATATACAGAGGAAGTATTTTCAATGGGGTGTGAAATACAATACAGACAGGAAACTGTTGAATGTGAAAGGATGTGGCAGAATTAATAAGTGGTGCTTCATTCATGTTTACATGAAAATAAAGTTGTCGGTGAGATAGCTGGGTTATTCAGAAAAGGTTCAAATATTGATATATTAGCAGTGTGCTTAGAAGTACTTTTTATAGAGCTAACCAGTTATGTTAATTATTGGTAATTGGTGCTCAGTGCAAAAAGACATCCAGCAAGTGGAGCATTAATATCTTTAAAAATTCTCCACTGATCATTTCTGAAAATTTGCTGTATACAAAATGAAAGTATTATTATACACATGGGCAGAAAAGTATGAAGAGAAGTAATAAGTAATTTGATGAACACTAAACAAGAAATATTTATGAAGAGGCAGTAAAGTCTATTCACCCTAAAAGCTGCCCATACAAAAAGGATCTATAATCAATAAGCAAAAAAGATCAATCAATCAACCTAGAGCTCCTCATCAGAGCTAAAAATCAGAATTAGTGTTATCAGTAGGTAGCTGCATTATTCAGAAATGAATAAAAAAAATATTGATATTAGCAATGTGCTTAGAAGTTCTTTTCTGATACTCCAAAATTATTAGGCAATCAAACTAATACTTCTGGTATTTTTACAAGCATAAGTGAATGTTGAACTTGTAGAGTCAATGAGTGGTAATAAGAGACCAGGAAATGATGGGTTAAATGCAGTTGTGTGTTTTAGAGATTTAACAAATGATGTAATGAAAGGTGTATTTTAACCATAACACAAAAGCAAGACACAATTGCTTTAAATGGAATTTTGTGGTTAAATATCCGCAAGTTGTCATTTCAAGGTTAAAAGGAAAGAGGAATACATATATTTAAATACAATCTACTTAAGAACTGTTAACAGATTATAGTTTGTACAACTGAAAAATTTTGAATATTCAAGTCTTGATTCGTATTGTGATAAATAGAAACTGAAACTATGCAGCATGTATTCTTTGATTGTATAAAAGCAAATTTAATCAGGACGCTTATAAAGGTTGGTGGGAAAGATCACCAGAAAAAAAAATGTTTTTGACTATCAAACAATTATCATAGCATGTAGGTGGAACTCCTGATTACTACGTAATTTGTGTATTGTTAAATTCATTATTATTTGTAAACTTGACTTATGACATTTCCCCATCAAAGGCATTTGACATTGGTTGCTCTATTCATTTCTGTGATAAATTTTCTCCACTCTTTCTTATTCTCTGCAATTTTTCTTTATTTTCAGTTTAGGTGGGTAAATTCAGTGACAGTCCTAGGGGTGATAGAAGATGGGCAAGGCAGGAGTAAAATTTTTTGCAGGGGTTGGGTGGGAAAAAGTGATTTTCCCTACAACTGGGACCACAAGGGCTGTAGTTTGAAGTGTAAATACTATTTAGAGGCAAAAATTTGTTGGTTTTGATGTAGCCCTGTACTACAGTGTAACTATACATAAAGTAAAATGGTGAAAATATTGTGCATATTCAGTTTCCATGCTAAAACCTAACCATTAATGTGTAATGTTTGAAGTAAAATACCATTCAAATGTAGATTAAATAGCAAGTCAATTTGTTTAAATATCTACATTTACATTCTTCATCAAACATTTTATAACCTACAATAGACAAATACAATGCATAACATTTTTCTTGGTATTCCTTAACACGTATATGATATGAACAAATACTTATACCATACAATTTGACTCTGGCATTCATAAACTATTGATCGAAGACAGTACATGTGTATTCTGCGTTCAGCAAACACCATACAAAAGACGAATACAATACGTAACATTGTACTTTGTATTCATAACAGAATATTGATCGGTAATAGTACGTGTGGTGGTGTAATTTTCTTGTGGGAAAATTCATTGATGGTAGCGCAGCTTGTTAAATTATGATTAAATGTTGAAATCATGTTTTGAAGTGACTTGTTGCAACATGCTGTTTGCTTTAACTGCTATATTGTGTGGAGGATTTAGGTCTGTTGAAGTGTCCAAAAAAGTCCACACCTTGCATCGAGAATCTGTTAAGAACAGCAATATTGTATTAATGAATTTTAATCTTTGAAAAGAAAGCTAAATTATGAACAAAATATCTAGTCAACAGTGCTTTAAATGAAATAGAATGTATTGAATAATACAATAATGGTTTGTGCTCCCAGTTTAAACTAGTTTATTGATATTGATCAAACCATTTATTATTTATATTTTATTATTGTGAACTATGAACTTCAAACTATGAACTAAACTATTACTAGTGACATTGGCTGTTTGCTTCTGGGAAAACTTGACTTCTTTGACTGAGCGTTCTGCTGACATATACAGCATATTTATAGTAGAGAGCTTATTGCTATAAATATCCTATTGTTTGTTAATACTGAAAGAAGGAATGCTATAAAAGATTGTAACATAATAGATATTAGGTTAATGACCAAAGTTACCACCCCAGTAGTGGAGTGCAAATTGTGTGCGATTGCAGTGGCGGATCCAGGAATTTGAAAGAGAGGGGCCCAGGAAGGGACTTCCACAAATAGAAGGTCTAGGTCACCTCAGGCACACCAAGGGTGGGGCTGAGGAAAGAAAATTTATGATTTTGTCACACCCCCCCCCCCTGAATCCACCACTGGATTGATATATGAATATATTTACATTGAATGAAAAATAATAACCATGAGATTGTAATTTGTTTGTTGTTTTAGACATGCTTTAAAGTTTGCACGAGATACACAGGAGAGCCAAATGGAAGGACCTCCTAAGACTGATTCCTCCGATGGTATTGTAAGTGTAAATATTTTAGAGTTAGCCACCAATTATTTTATGCTAATAAACTTCAATATAAATAGAATTCAATATTTTGTCCCAAATCGACCAGTCTCTGGAAGTCAGCACCATCTTCTGCACTCCTGTGAAGAAAGTTTTCTGCAAATTAACTCAATCTCCCTCAAAATAAGGATGCTTGAATGTTTTTAAATAAGCCGCAATCGCACTTGGTTTAAAAAAGGAAAGATTTTACCGAGACCGTAGGTACATTCCAATCGGTAAGTCTTCCTGTCATTCGCACTTGGATTATTCGACGTGGTTAGTTTTACCACCATTCATGGTTAAACTTACCGAGTTGTAAAAATAAACTAATGGGGGTGCTAAATTTTGACATTTACTTCTGCTTCATCCCTGATCAATCGTGTGCAAGACAATGAAAAGCGTGTGACATTTATAAGTTTATTGAATAGATTACGAATCCTGTTGCCGATGATTAGGCCTGGTATTACAAAGGCCCATCAGATTACTTATTTCATATAAATCGGCCATTTATGCTGCGATAAAGCAAGCAGTAGAAAAAAGAATTAGAAGACATTTTAGTAAATAGTAAACCATCTACAAAAAGCGTGTGAAAAATATTTATCAATGGTTGTGTGTACGCCATATAATTTTGGGTCACAGCTCATGTGCAACCCGGAGAAGGTCATTCATTGAGGTGACTCGGGGATGTTTACCCGAGTCATGCATACGCATTGGACTTTCCTGCTGGTAAAACTAGCCTGGTTAGTTTTCCAGGGAAAACGGGAGTCGGTTAAACTAACTGCGAGGCTAGAGTAAGTTTCCTGAGAGGTGAACTTCCTGTGCTGTTTTCACTGGGTTATTTATGGTTAAACTACCCATCAGGTCAGTTAGTTTTATCGAAATAAGTCCAGTGCGATTGCGGCTTAAGTGTCATTGTGCATCTGAGGTAACCTTACCTAGGGAATCACCACATACAGCTAAAATAGGGTTTCAAAGTTATTGTATCACTTCTTTGTAATTATTATATATCAGTTCTCCGATATTGTTATGTCATTTTCCGTTATTATTTGATGTCACTACTTTTTACTGTTTGCATGTATGTTTCTAAAACAATATGTATTTACAAATTATATTTATTTTTTATGTTTAGATGGATAGTATGTTCAAAACTTTTGGCCTGACCAGTTTTCTAGGTTCATCCGCAAAAAAGTTTGATGCAGCAAATGATGATGGGAAAGAGAGTTCAACAGAAATGGAACTTCCAACTTCGTCACAAAAGAAGAGTCCACCGAAAGCAAGTAGTGTGTCTTTGACATTAGAGGAGAAACAAAGGTTGCAGAAGGAACAGGAGCAGCAGCAACGATATAAAGAGCAGCAGAAAATCCAGCCAACGATGGTGACAACCACTAAAGCCCAACCAAAAAATCTTACTCATACTCTAATGGACTCTAACTTAGCAGGCTTATCAACAAAGACAAACACTAGCATGTCATCATCACAGCGACCTTTTACTCCCTCTTCTATGGGAACCTACTCCAGCTCCAATTCAAGTCACATGAACTTTGCTTCTAAGCCTGCTCCATCACAAAATCAGAAAATAGACCTGTCATCGTTTGATTCCCTCTTGCCAAGTAAACAGAACAGTCAAAAGGTTCCCATGAACCAATTAGGTCAAAGGTCAACTGGAAGTGGCCTTGGACAGCCAGGTATCATGGGTGGTAGTGGAATGAATGGTAACCAAAGAATAATGGGAAGTTCAGTAATGATGGGAAGTCAAGGTATGATGGGAAGCCAAAGTATGATGGGAAATCAAAGTATGATGGGAAATCGAGGTATGATGGGGAATCAAAGTATGATGGGAAATCAAGGAATTATGAGAACTCAAGGCATTATGAGTAGCCAAGGTATGCTGGGAAATCAAGGGATGATAGGTAATCAAGGAATGATGGGTAATCAAGGGATGATAGGAAACACAGGAATAGTTGTACCTTCTCAAGGAATAATGAACAGTTCGTTTAATCAAGTGAATTTACTAAGTAATACTAAGAATGGTGTGATGAATCCAAGTAGTGGGATGATGGGAAGCTTCGGAGAAATAGGTCAACAAACTGCAATGTCACAAGGCAACCAAAAGCCAGTAAACTCTTCCACATCTGCATCAAATGATTTAGCGGATTTACTTGGTTAACACAGATATGATTAATTAATAGTCTTGTGTTTAAATACATTTTTTTATATTCATTGATATGGTTAAAATGATCCTGCTCATGTTTAAAATATAGCCATAGCTCTCAATATTAATATTACCTTATTTTTGTGAATTTAAGCTTATAATATTATACAGACCACATATTAAGTCTCATCTCAAACCATATACACTTTATTTTATTAAATGTATTTGTTATTAAGGTAATTTATAAAGTTCATTATCATTGATTAATTTTAATGTTGCTTGAGAATGAAATTAAAAATGTTCAGATGTTTGTGTGATATTAAGGCCTGTTCACACTATCAAGTCTCATGTAACAGATTTGTGTGATTTTGCCCTTATATGGGCCACAACCATATATGGGC